CTCTGCCTCTAGATAGGCAGAGCCAGCTGTCACTCACGCTGCTGGGTGGACCTCGACATCGATGTCGGGATCCACTCCGGCTGCGGCGTCTCAGTATACCGCGAGCTGTAGCTCGCGTTATACTGAGCTTAGGGTGACGGGAGGATGCTAGTTTGTGTCCTCCCGTTACCCTAAGGAGAACTATGGGGAAAAGCCCTGACCCCATAGTTCTCCTTTAAGATAGATTATTTAACTGAATATACATTTTCAGATCAAATGTTTTGACAACTTATAGGCATACTATGAAGTGACTCTTTATGACCATCCACGCTCAGCAAATCAAACTGAAAACAACTATAGTTTTCCTAGTTTCCTTGGTACCATGGTTTGCACATAAAGATATTCATGACATCTAGTTGCTGGGATCTCGGCAAATCAGCAACTAAAAATTTAGACTTTGATGTTTGAATTTTTTTTTTTTTTTTTATACTGGTGCTGAATTTTTGCCTTTGAGTGTCTAGCTTATCAAATACCCTTTGTTTAAATAAACAAATTCTCTCCAGTCTTCACATATTATGGCCATGTAAGTGCATCCACCCTGGCTAGATGCTATCCATTGTCTTAATGGGAGGTTTCTGAATAAGGGGTTCCATTTTTTTTACAGAAGTGGCGTTGCTGTTTCTAATAGACAGATAAAGCAGTGATAGGAATCTTTTCTGTTTAGGTGTCAAGAAAATATAGGTTGGGGGAACTATGGATGGAAAATGCAGACAGGAAACCCATTATCGTTAAACACAAAAGCAGAAATGTATTTAAACAGCTGTGTTTTAAGTGTGTAATTTGCGTGTAAAACATGTTAGCATTAATCTTTAGTTCTGTCTTGAGCCTAAAGTGACAAATCTTTACCATACTTAAGGTGCCCATACACCTGCCGATTATCGTACGATAATCGCAGGTGTATGGAAGGCATGCGACCGTTTCTACTGTATGGTCGCACATCTTTTGTCTTCCGAGCATGCTTGAAAACCCCCCGAGAATCGCACGATTTTCGGCGGGTTAGTGGCGTGCTTGGAAGACAAATGCCGAATGCGTGGTGTGCGCAAGCGCGCACTGCCCGCTCAGCATTGGAATCATCGGAAGCCCTCCCCTCGGCGGGGAGGGTTTGCGATGATCGCAAGTACGATCTGCCTGTTCAAGATGGGCCGATCGTACGAGATTATAATTACCTTACAACCATCGCACAACTAAAGTTGTGCGATGGTTGTAAGGTGCATGGGCAGCTTTAGAGTTGAATTATTGTAATTTCAAAAAAATCAAGCACTGCTATTGGTTGTATCAATGCACCGCGGTCCATGGGCACATTTTTATGAATTATTTAAACCTGTGGCTGGTCAGCAACTGATTACAGCTGGGTGCAAAAAATGAAAAAAGGGCCTCAGTCATGAAGGGGTTAATCAGAGTCTGCTGTAAGTTCACTGCTGTTGAAGCGATCATATGCTTATAACCTAGGGGAATGCAGCTGCCGTAAGGGTTACTAAACCAGCCAGTTCCAATCAGTTCTGTTCTGACATATTCTTGCCTTCCGAGGCAGTGGAAGGGATAAAGGACAATTGCACCTTTATTTTAAAATCAGTATTATAATGAGCCTGGTACACTTATTAAATCAGCAATATAAATCCTATTCCTTTTCACACATAAACTAAGATTTTACCTAACTTTGTTGGTAAAAGGTTTGAGGTAAATCCTGCATTAAAATTCTTGCCTTTTTTTAGGGCTAATAGGACAACTTTTGTCGGAAAAAAAAATGGGGAGTTGGACAATTTTTAGAAAAATGCTGTACAACCGGGAGAGAGTGCTTTTTGTGCAGCTTTGCGAGTGCCAAAAAACTATACTTTTTAAAATAATGTCCTGCTTTGGGGCTGCCAGAGCCATTTTTGCATTCTTATGTTCACATTAAAATGAACATTTTAGGCTTCAATATCACGCAGAAGTATATCTTTTTGGAAAGCGGAGACCCTATAGAATAAAATAATGGCAGTTGCATTTTTTTTTACGTCAGGCAATATTAGTGCAACTGTTCACAAACCAAAAGTTTAGTAAAAACTACATTAAATTGATTTAATGCACATAAATACAATATAATACCCAATGTTTTCACAAAACATAAAATATGAGGTTGCACTAAATAGCTTTAAAATAGAGTGCACCTATGAAATGGTAAAAAACTACGGTACCCAATATTGTCCATAGGCGATATTTTAAAAGCCTGTATACTACAAGTTGCTTCTAGATTGTTTCCTTTTTTGGGCTGTTTATTTTACAAATGGACTGCATTGAAACTATGCTTCAGGAGGAGTCACAAAACCATAAATTTTTTCATGTTTGGGAATCTTTTATTGATACTTTACCAATTTCATTAAAACAGAAACTTATGCAATGTTTTGTATTAACCTCATGGTACATGGTCTAATGATCCTCCAACTCATTTATAATTGATTTTCATTATGTTTTTAGATTTTCTCTGTGTTTGCTTTGGACCCGGAGGTGTTGGTTGGCCTAGACACCAACACCCACCGTGGCCATGCATGTGGGGGAAAAGGGGGTTCAGTGGAGCCCAAGATACATGTCAGGAGATATTGGGCAGGGGCACCTTAGGCAGCCCATTGAAATGACCACTTCCAGTGTAAAGCTGACAGGTGGTCCTTGCTTACAGGGCCCTGCTGCCACCGTGATAGGGTTAAGGCTGTATGTGGCGTTAAGGAACAGGATGTTTTTCACTGACATCCTCAGCAGCAGCATGCTTAGGTAGCACATAGGATTTATATAGTTAATTTCCTTAGGCATTACTAGCATATTACCATACCATACTGCCATCTAAAGTTCGGCGAACGCTCGAACGGCCGATGTTCGATTTGAACTCATGTTCGAATCGAACCGGCGGACCATCCCTACTAGACATGTGCACTGGCAAAAAATTTGTTTCGTTTTCATTAGGATTTTGCGTTATTTCACTTTTCAGGATTCGGGTCCAAAAATCAATTAGTTTTCGGATTCGGGCGAAATTCAGCATTGGTGAGGAAGAGTCCCTTGTCCGCATCTGCATGAGGACAAGTGGCCTGGTAAGGCGGGGGGGGAATGGACAGACCCATAAATGTGCCACACTTGAATATCTGAACAGCCCTATCTTTATTGAATGAGGTACATACTGGCAGGTATTGGCACAATATGGCTGCTGTGCCACATATGGGAATTTCCATGAACTCTGAAGGCTATGATCTGTGTGTTTATTACATTTCTTTAGTTTCTCACAAATGTATAACAATTAAATGGTTTATACCAGTGGGAGGCAACCTAAGCACTCCAGCAGTGCTGAAACTATATATCCCATCATGTCTCTGCCTCTGGGAATCATGCCTGTGGCTGTCAGAGTCTTGCAATCCCTCATGGGATTTGTAGTTTCAAAATAGCTGGTGCCAATGTTGCCTACCCCTGGTTTATACTATTAAATGAGGCACAGATTTCAGTGCTGTGCCGTGTCATATATGCCAATACATGTAAGCTTCAAGGGCAATGACTTCTATAAGAAATATTTTCCATGATTGAAGCAACTATGGTCTTGGGGATCATGCATTTTGAGCAGAGACACCACTGGATATGAAAATTGTATAACTAGTAATAGCAGAGATTGTTGATCCAGGGAACATCCAATGGCCTTAGAGCACATGTGCCAAACACAAGACCCCCGGGCTAAATCTCAACTCTCCTGCCTTTTTGAATTTTAAATCAAAGCCAGCACTGTAATGAGGTGCCCGACTTCTCAGAAAGGCTGCTGAGATCCCCAGCAAGGTGCAGGCAGGCTTCCTGTGAATCGTGGTGCCTGTTTACAGCATCGGCAGCAAACCTCCTCCTTCCTGTGGATCCATGCTGCCCACACCCACCGAGATCAACCAGGACCCCTGCACAGCCCACCTAAGAGTCTGCACAGTCCACCATAGACCCTGCATAGCCCACCTGAGGGTCTGCACAGCCCACCATAGAACCTGCACAGCCACCTGAGAGTCCACACTGTTACACTAATTGCCAATATTTTTCATAGACTTCTACTTTCAGTGCTAGTGATTAAGTTATTGCTAAAACCAGTAATAATCAAATGCAGAGCAATTACTTAATATGATAAAAAGTAGATACATTTATATAGTCTTACAGATACAATAGGCCCTTTAAGGGCAACCATAATGCTGATGTGGCCCGCAATGAAATTGCGTTTGACACCCCTGCCATAGGGTCAGGAAGGAATTTTTTTTCGCATGTTAAAGCAAATTGGACAAACAGTTTATTTTTTTTTGCCTTCCTCTGGATTAACTGTGGGTTCTGTTTATGGAGGATTTTCTATTGGTTGAACATGGTGGACTTTTTTTTTCAATCTGACCAACTATGTAACTATGATTGTTATAGGATCAGCTATGAACAACTTCCATGTAGATAGCTGCATGAATTGTTCATTGGTGTCTGCTTGATTTAAAATGTTTTCATCTTGGCATTGTTCTGGGAGATTGTGTTGTAAATCCTCAGATGTGCTTGTAAAAGTCTTTCTTCTGCTGGAGCTCTGAATGAAAGTTGACTGAGCACTATATAATGTCTGCAGTCTGCCTGGGACCGGTAAATGGTTGCCATTTATATAATATATATTTTAACTCATTGAGTATTTAAAACACTGTGTGGGAAGTGGGAAGCAGTTTACGGATTATTGATTACATTAACCATTGTTGTGGGTTTTTACCTTGTGGGTTTTTATCTCATTGGTTTGTGAAATGCACCTTACAGGTCTTCTTTATTCAAGTTGCTTTAGTTATTGAGTACCAGGGATTCCAAACCCTTTGTTTTCCTTGACCTGGAATTAGAAATAGTTTCTATAATCTTTACCCTCTGTTGTAACAAGCAGCGTACTAATATTTTGCAGAGAAATGAGCAGGTTAGGAGCTCTGTTTGATGTTAATCACTGTTTACCATTTATTTCACAGCTGGGTTTTTCTCCATGAGAAAGCTTACCAGATCCGGGACTCCTCAATCGAGTCTTCTGTTATGACAAAAGTAAAAGGCATTGGGCGCTACAGTAAAAGAGTGATGGATGTTGCAGACTATGTCATTCCACCACAGGTAAATAGATGTACTAAAAGTATACAATTGAGTTTTTACATGGCAGAAAATGGAAGTAAAGACACAATATGCAAACATATGCAATTTACCACAATTTGAGACAGATTTAGAAAAACAATACCTTTTTTAAATGAATTCCTCATCTAGTGATAATAAATAGTATTATGCCAGTTTTAAAGTGCAAATGAATCTAAAACCTTTTAGATTTGGGAAAAGTGGAGAGAGATTAGAACACCTGTTGGGTTTTTTTTTTTATTGCTGTCTGTATCCTCATTATGGACAATAGCCCTCTCTATTTGTCCTGGTGACCATTACCATTGAAAGATCCACATTTTGGATTGTCATTATAACAGTAATAGATGGGAAATCCTTAAATGATGACACTAGTTCTGGTGATTCTACTAACTAACAGGGATCTCCCCCACTTTGGAGGGATTTCCTCTCACTTCTTGTTGTGACTATCGGAGAGGAAGTTAAGGGAGTTTGACACAGATAGCAAAAAACAAAAAAAAGCCGACAGAGGTTATGACCCGTCTTTACTCTTTCCAAAACATAAAACATGTTTTGGCTTCAGTTATACTTTAAATCTGACTAAGCAAAAATTATGGTTGTACTTTGGAAGCTAGGTTGTTAGGCTGCAATTTTTTTAGGTTACTAGTTATTTGGCTGTTATGCAAATGCTATGGCTTCACTACTTAGGGAGTTAAGGACACAAGAAAAGGCATGCAGATCATGTCCTCAGTGGCTGCATACTTCAAGGCATTGAAGCCACAAGATAAGGATGGTAGCAAGGACACTAGAAATGCCTATACAAAGTCAACTCTAGTTGCTTTCTTTATGAAGTAAAAATACTATTACTATGTAGCACTTACCCCCAAAGGAGCACAGAACATCCATGATAGTGTAGACTCCTTTGTTAGAGCAAAGAAACTGCTGACTCACCAGAGTAGGACCTTAAAGGAGAACTATGGGGTTAGGGCTTTTCCCCATAGTTCTCCTAAGAGTAATGGGAGGACACAAACCAGTGTCCTCCCGTCACCCAAAGCTCAATATACGGCGAGCTACAGCTCGTTTTATGCTCCCTGCCTCCAAGATAGTGGCACGCATTCACAGAACATGCCGGTGGCCAACATGGCCGCCGCACATTCTCAAACAAATTATTATGCACCTGAATATATTTTTCGGATATTCGGACATATAGTAATTCATTAATTTTACATGTAGTCCAGGTTTGTGGTCTGTTTTCTATTTTTACTTTTCTAGATACACTTACTTGAAAAAAGGGATCGGCATGACAACCTGACACTTTATTTTTATAGACTCTATTGTAGTTTGACATTTATTGTTTACCTTCTGTTGTTTTATTTGATAAGAATACTTATATTGTGCTACAAGTTTAATACCTTTGAATAAAAGTTTTATTTTTATCATACTTTTTAATATGTTTCTTTGCGGCTTAACAAAATAAGAGTCTTTAATTGGTGCGGATATTGGGGCAAATGGGTGTGGTTATGGGGGTGTGGCCACTAAAGGGTGTGGCCACTGAGGGGCGCTGTAAAGCTTTCTCGCACAGGGCGCCTAAAGGCCTAAGGCCGGCCCTGGGAGGGGTAATCCCTGCAGGGCGCGGTGAGTGACGGTCACGGCTCTCTGCACGGATAGATCGAGAAGTGAGCGAGTGCCAGTATGTGTTCGCTCACTTCCCGATCTACTGAGCCGACCTGTGACAGTTTAATTGTCACAGGTCGGCTCAGATTATGAGGCTTTGCGAAAATCACTCGCTTCATATTTCTTCTTTAAGGCCAAATGTGGCAATCTTGTGTGTTGAGCAACCGGGTAAGAAGTCACCGATCAGCCTCTCTAGTTTCAGCAGAGGCTCACTTCTCAGGTCCCCCATGCCTGTTGAAGTTACTCTGTCATCTTCATCCTCAGTATCAGCCACTGGGCCCAAGACTCAGGCTTCAGTGTGAGCACATGGCTAGTCCCCTTGGCTTCAGGCCTGTTGTAAATACAACAGCATATCCTGATATGTTAGTTTTCTATATGCATGCTTATATATGATTCACATGAAGTTTTCCTATCTATAGATTTCCTGCACAATGCTGTATTCTGATGTAATATTCTTATAAACAAGTAAAACCCAATTCAGCATTCCTCAAGATCTAAGTGCTTCATCTAAACACATAAACAGGTTATGGGCCCAGACACTAAAGAGAACACTACAAGTCAACAAGAGCCACATCCAAGCTACTGAAAGATGACAAGCAGTTCAGATATGAAGTTTGCAATCGCAAACCTCAACAATACCAACTACCAGCTGTGGAAGTTCTAGTTTGAAATGATGCTAAGCAAAGACAACTTGTGCCAAGTACTGGGTACAGACAGACCCACTAATGGACCCGTGGATCAATGGGACAAGAAGAACTGGCAAGCAAAAGCAATTATAAGTCTGCTAGTGGAAAACGGCCAGCTCATCCACATAAGAAAATAAAATACAGCTAAAGGTATGCAGACTACATTATAAAGGCTGCATGAGCGTTCAAACACCTAAACAGTAAACTATATCTGCTACGCAAGCTATATAAGATGAGGCAAAAAAAAAAATCTAGTAAATGCGTGAACATTTGAATGCCATGTCGTAAATCATAGAACAACTATGTGCAATTGGAGAGGAAGTTAAAGATAACCACATGGTGGCACTACTGCTATGCAGCCTTCCAAAGTCGTACAATGCACCAAAGGAAAATGAATCAATGAATATGACAGAAGGAATGAAAATATGCACAATGAAGAAAATGAGAAAGCCCTTAAGGTGCATGAGAGCACAAAGCAAAAAATAAGAAACCAGAGTGTGTTTTCGCTGTAAAAAGACTGGTCACCTGAAAAAGGACTGTTCAATCTGGAAAGCCAAGTAGTGAAAGTGAGAGGCACCTACAAGAAAACGAGCTACAGCAGTCACAAAGGAAACTGCAGGCACATCATGGAGCGCTACCTTTAAAGTGACGGATGGTGTATTGACTCAGGCGCAACAATTCACATGACTACTGATGAGACATTCTTCACAAAAATCGATTTTCAGTGCAAAGCACAAAGTTTTCTTATCAAACGGGGGAAAAGTATTACTATGGAATGTAACGGTCAAGGATTCTTGAACTGCATCACACCATCAGGGGACAAGCAGAGTACCCTCATGAAAAATGTACTGTATGTCCCAGACCTAGAAGGAAGCCGCCTATCGGTGAAAACCCTTGCTGCTAATGGCCTCACAGTTCAACTCCAAGGCGATGAATGTACAAACCGAAACAATTAGCAAACCCTTGCAAAAGGAACATTTGATGAACAGACTCATCACCGCAGACACAAAAGTCAAAACAGCCACTCATAATCCACACAACAAATGTTTCCATCTAAGGTATAGACAACTAGGGCACCAAATCCCAGAAGTCATAAAAGACATTATAAAGACAGGCTAATCAGAAGATATAACCGTACTGCCCTGCCAAATGCTCATGACATGCAAATGCTGTATGGAAGCAAAGGCCACAAGTACCCTACTTCCACAGGCCACCCAAAGAAAGACCACCCACCCCATGGAGCTCATACACTGCAACATGTGCGGACCAATGAAAACTCCTACATTAGGTGTGAACAGATATCTACTGACTTTCATTGAGGATTATTTCATGTACACAACAACTTGATCTGATGAAGCACAAGAATAAAACATTAGAAAAACTTCCAGAGTTTGTAGCCATGTCCAGCAACAAATTCCAATTGAAACTAAGAATTATACGCACCAACAATGGAGGGGAAAACATCAGTAAGGAAGTGGAATCATATACCTGAAGAAACAGGGTATAGTACACCAGACTACCACACCATACACTCCTGAACAAAATGGTGTAGCAGAATGGAAATATTGCGCCAACCTATCTAAGAAGTACTGGGGAGAAGCAATCACGACTGTGACATACCTACAGAACAGACTACCATCAAAAACCGTTGAAAGCACCCCATTTGAAATGTGGCATGGATTGTAGCGTAGGGCACATTAGAGTGTATGGATGGAAAGCTTACTCCTATAATCCAAATGAGAAGCAATCCAAATTGGAGAACACAACCATTGAAGGTATTCTGGTGGGCTATAATGAACAAAGTAATGGATATAGAATCCTCCACCCAAAGAGTGACAAAGTGACAATAAGTCGCAGTGTTTACTTCGATGAGAACCCATCACCAGAAACAATGATCCTGGGCAAGTGGTGAAGTGAATTCGCCCAGTGAACCAGCAAAGGAAGCTGAGCAAAGTGAAGCTGCATAGGAGTCAGAATAAGAGGTGGAACTCAAAATGGATAAGTCAAATGCCATGTTAAACTCTGCTGAACAACCTGAAATTAGAAGATCCACTTGAGCAACAAAGGGAATACAACCCTGCAAGCTGTAATATACTGCTAAGCCACATAGCATACTTGAACAAACATTGTGGGAAGACAGAAAAATGACCAAAACGCAAAGCCAATAAATGGAGAAAGGCAGCAAAAGAAGAAATGACTGTGGATGCACTCACCAAGCCATTGCCAAAGGATTGTCACAGTTTCCTTTGAGATAATCTAATTGTCATATAGCAACGCATATGCTGTTGAGAAGGGATTTTGGAAATACAACAGCATATATGTTGGTTTTCTATATACATGCTTATCTATGATACACAGGAAGTTTTCCTATCTATATTTTCTTGCACAATGCTGTATTCTGATGTCATATTCTTATAAGCAAGTCAAACTTAATTCAGCATTCTTCAAGGTCTCAGTGCTTCATCTAAACACATAACCAACAAGGCCTAGCCAAATCAGACAGTCCATAGCAGCCTCCCCTAGACAGGGGCCCGGAGGAGAAATAGAACCCCGCACATTGTCCGCCCCGAATATTTATGTCCTCTCTAGCATGCACCACTGGCCATGAACCTCCGGGTGATTGGCCAGGGAGACATACATATTCATCACAATCTCTTATTGGTTGCTCTGCTCTGTGGCAAGGATCCATCTAGCAGCAGGCAGATGCAAACGATAACAGATTGATTAGGGAAAACCAAATGAGCATAGACTATTAGATCAGTATCGGACTCAATACAATCTGACAACTACATTGTTATGTGGGCAGGACCAGGTCTGGACTGGCAATTCTGCAACTCTAATAGATGTTATAATAGCTAATATTTCTAGGTCCCTCAGACGTCATATTATAGCCCTTACTCTTAAACAGCAAGTGACAGTAAATCACAAATATTTTTGCCCTTGTCACATTAGCAGGTTTAAGGCAAGTGTAATATGTGGACTGTTAGAATACGTTAAGTACCAAGTCTGGTGCTGAACCCATCTCAAGAAGTCTTCAAATGTTCTTCAAGCATTGCTTCAATCTTGAGAGTGTGAGCTGCACTGTGCAGGACCAGCAATTACAGTTAAATTAGAGTGATTCCACTAGTGTTTTTTTGTACATGTTGGAGATTTGTTATGTAGAGATCACACTTATGATCAGTAAAATTTCAAAACATATGGGGCCAGAAGGGTGAAGAAGCAGAGGATAGAGAAGGATATCTTTCATAAAAATATATAAATGCACAACAGGTATGCTACAGGATGAAAATACAAAAATAGGCTTTTATTCTCTAGTTCTGCTGCTGTATGTGTTTTTCTGTCTTGTTTTTCAGGGCTCTTCTGTGTTCGTCATTCTAACAAAACTTATAACAACTCCGGATCAGGTGCAAGACCATTGTCCAGAGGTGAGTCAAACACCAGCAAGATGTCTTAATTTACTGCTTTAAAGAGAACCCATTAAAACAATGAATTGCTACGGATAAACTGTTTAGTGTAACAGATGCTTCAGATGGAAGACAGTGTTTCACCTTCTGCAATCAGTAGATGTTTCCATTCCACAAATCGAAAAATTAGCTGAATCATCATTACCAGATTTAACACCAGATGACGATGATCCATATGAGGGCCCTTCATGGATTTTAGAGTCAAGATACAAACGACAAAAAAGACATCCTCAAAGATTCACTTATGATTCATTAGGCCACAGCACTGAAGCAATGTCTACTGTAAACAGATCTGTTGAAGTGTCCATGGTGTCTGTCCAATTATCTGAAAATGTATTTCCCATACAAGCTATCCGCACACCTTGGGGAAGGTTTTCATTACCCATAGCAGTAGCTAAGAGATGTCATAAGTTTAATTTATCTGATAACAGTAGAGACATTTTGGTGGGTGTTTAATGTAGACTGTATTGTGATATTGATACACTGTGAATGTGTTTTAATCAACAGTTGGGAATACAAATGTTCTCTTTGAAGGGACTCAGGTTTTCTAGTGGGGGGAGAGTGTAGCATGTTGTGGAGCAGGCCCCTTTTAGACTAACCTAATGTTGCAACTGTCCGGGGTTTCTGCTAGCAGAGACTTATGGGGCATAAGTTCTTTGCTCAGGAAGATGCCTGCTGGACTGGCTGTTTGAGACTACATGTCCCAGAGTGCTGTGAGAGGAGAGGGGAGTGCACTCTGGCTAAAAGAAGACATCTTGAGTCATTCCCCATGCAGAGGTTGAGAGGGCAGGACGTCTGGAGCTGTGTCCCTGTCTGTTCTGCTAGTAGACCGAGGGACCAACGGAGCATGATATCCTGCCAGGTGATCGCATGAGCTGACCGGGTTACAGTCCATACTGCTGTGCAGTGATCGTGAATTCGGCTGTGACGAGCAGACGCCGCGTTGGTTGATCAGATCTTCTCCTGACTGCAGAGCCTGCTGTTTCCTCTCTCTCAAGTGAACCAACTCCCTTCTGGAAGATATCTGCTGACAGTGCGGGGGCACCCTTGATGTGCATCTCCCTCCATGATTGATGAGAGGCCTCTGCTTCTTGAGAACACCAAACACTGAGTTTATTATCACATACATTGGGCCCCACCATTGGCTAGACGAAGATTAAACCACTGGCCAGCTGGTTAGGTACCCGGGTACATTGGGACTGAGACAGGGTTTTGTTCTAACTTTTATCCTGTGAATGGAGACTGTTGTCAGTACATCCATTGCTGATATACAGTCACCTTTATAACGGAATCCAATTTACAGTCTGAAGAGTCTGACATGTGTACATGTTTAAACGGCTATTTATCTTACCATTGAAAGTAAACTATGTTAAACCAACTCAAAGTGTGATGGTGTGCTGTGGATCCAATATATAGGTTTCTTACATAGGAAATACAGGGAGACACATTAGTTATTTTACAGTAGATCACCCCTTAGGAGCCAACGGTAGTGTTATCCTGTATTGGGAGGGGGGCGCTATACATAATCTCAAGTGAACCATTTCACTCGTCAATGCTGAATGCATTATTGTTCGGGTATGTTACCCAATAAATAGTCAAGTTAGGATGAGGAAAAGGTCACTTGCACTCCAGATTAATTTTCAGTCAATGTTTATTGACCTCTCATCGTGTCACATTGTTGTTTGCCTGAAGACGGAACTGCGTGGTTCCGAAACATTGCTTGACAATGTGACACGATGAGAGGTCAATAAACATTGACTAAAAATCAATCTGGGGTGTCAGTGACCTTTTCTACATTCATTTATTGATTCATGGAGGCATCCATGGTCACTCTTTGCACCCACCCGACTCCAAAGGGTTTTTATTCGGTCAGGAGTGAGATGGGTTTCATTTGAATAATGAAGTTAGGATGAGGAAGACAGTACAATAGCTTACACCTTTACGGCAGCTCCCATATTTCTTTCTTAACAGGTTCCCTTTCATTTCTAGAATGTTAGACCTAATATTTTATTTCTCTATTTTCATTCTAGAGTGATGAGAAGTACAGGTGCACCACAGACAGCAAGTGTACAAGAAACAGGCCGACATCCAATGGTATGACTGCTTACATATTTACTTACCTTTGTTGGGGCTCTAAGGTTTGGGAGGTCTATAGCTACTCCGATAACAACATTATCCTGTGAACAGCTAGCTGTTTGGCCAGTATTGTAAAATATGCTAAGCCTAAATTTCATTTGTGGGGAAACATGGGAGCTCCCGTGACTAATCTGTTGTTTTTTTTTTGTTCAAACTTGTTGATCCTGAAATCACTACCTAAGTTCCTAATCTACAATAGAAGTGCAGGTAGAGCTCTGGGCCCAAAGGTAGAAGAGATAAGGTTTGAAACCAGATTTTAAAAGCAGCTTTCTGTCCACCGAGATATCCCTGGGGGTCCCTAGAGTGAGTGTAGAAAGGATGAGAATGACATCATGACGGAATAAATGTCAGTTAAAGTACCGCAGCGCTGAATACTGAAAAATGGCCTGGATGGGAAGGGGGTTTAACACCGCGGATGTCAACTGGTTAAGAGAATACCGGACAACAAAATGCAAAATAAAAGGATAAAGTAGTGCTAATTAATTACAGTGGTCAGGCAGCATGACCGGAGACCGGAATTAGCACTACCTTGTCCTTTTATTTTGCAATTTGTTCTCCAGCATTCTCTTCAATCACTGCCAGCATCTAAACCCCTGTGACAACAAGTGACAAATAGCACCTCGCGCCAAATCCTGTGTAGCTGCAAGCACTAAAAGAAGTGTTTACCCTCTGAGTGTGTCAAATTATAATGAATGTGCTGCGCTTCATCTAGAACAATACATAAATAAACAAATCTCTATAATAAATAAGTACTAAATAATACATGCAATCAAAGTGTTCACAATTGCTCTTCTTGTAAATAATATCCCTCTGGAAAGTTCAATCATATATTCCGTGTTCAGATGTGCACACATGTGGAATCACACGTATAAAGTGCTCAAGATTTGTCCCAAGTGCACCACACTCTTTTTTTTTTTTGAATCCTTTTTATTAGCAATTTTTTACTTCTTGACAAAACAATACGTTAAAAATACAATTTCATACCATACAAAGCAAACAGCCCGAATTAATTCCCCCCCAAAATTAGAGGGAGGCAAAAAAAAAAGGATAATAATAGAATCAACACTTTCTACCCCTATATATATACCCACACATACCTTCATAGACAAAAACCGTATTTCATATTTTATCGGTTTACTTATCTAGTTTTCTTCGAAACCATAAAAATGAATCTGTAATTACAATCAATATGTGTATTTACTATAATTAATAAAGAAAAGTATTTTGCGTGTATTTAAACATTCGTATACATTATGATGTGCTATCAAAAACAAATCATTGGTAATTAAACATGTGTAAACTATCCTCTTCCCTAAAATGGATTTACCATCCCTAATAGTTTGTATAAAAGTGTTTAGTCTATATATATAAATATATACACACCCATACACACACTCATACACATATATAAACAAACACGCCTGTAGGCGGGGTTCACTCTCGGGGTGTTGCGTGTGTGTTCCCTTTGGGTTGGCTGTGTAACCCCGTGCATGCAACTCGAAACCAGACACCCCACGGTCAGGGGCCACGGCATTGGCCTCGTGCAAACACTCCCACATGTGTAGTACTGTGCACACAGGGCCTCATGGCTTCCACCGCCTCTGCGGGACTCGGCGCTTCCTTCCCCTTAGGGAGAAAGGCCACCATGAACGGCACCCTGTGTCGGGCATAGTCCCTTTGCACACATACCCTCTTCCGGATGATTACAGCCACGATACAGTCCAACATCACACTCCGGTAGAACCCCACCTTCTCAGAGGTTGGAGGGAGAAGAACCAGTCCACAAAGATAGTTTTTTCTTGATTTTACTTGAAAGAATGAACATGGTATGAAGCATACATTTCAGCCACCCAAGAGTGGGGTGACGGCACATCACTTGTTACTTGCTTGGTGATACAGATTAGAGAGAGAGAAGATCAGCCCAGGTGCAGCCCAGAGTCCACGACTTACTTCGGCCAGAGGCCCACTGGCAAATATCGTCAGTACTACAGCTTCTCACTATTCTCCGGAATCCCATCCTTGTCAGTCCTAGCTCGGTGGTTTCCCCCTATGGGGAAACTAGGGAATCTTTGTAGCTCTACATATTCCTAGGCCTGGTCCTGTCCTTCCCATGGACCAGCCTATGTTCAAGAAACAGTCTCCCTCCGGAGACTCTGCAAACAGTCCTAGACTTCTGCTCTCCTGTACTCTCTGACTACTTCCCCTCTCGGGCGCCCCCTATAAATCAACTCTCCTGGGACACAGAGTCTCCCCAGGCCTGAGCTGCATCTATCTCCAGGGCCCCATGGGGGCATCTAGTGGCCATTGGCCATACTGCACCTACCTACATTCCCCCACAGTTAAATATAGTACACTCCTGTACTAGTTACATGGACTACTGACAAAGACCATACCTTCTACCAAGGTATCTTAACATGTTCTACTCTGCATCTACAAGGGCCTAACCCCTGACTCCTAACTGGGCATCTAACACAAATCCTATCCCCTCCCAGGGCTGGGCTGCACCGTCACCAACAGGGCATTAACTTTTTATAGAAAACACATTAGTCACATTATACAATGCACAATACGGTAAAACCACCACTCCACATTCCTCCTACAGGAATAAGATACTCTCTGCATTTATAAAACATTGCATTTCTCACAATAAGCAGCATAAAATGAATTGCACGGTTAGTCAGAGACCTTCCTTAATCATACATGTGAGACACTCTGTATGTATATCTGGTAACATCTTACTCGTTATGCATTAAAACATTGAACACTGAGAGTAATTTATTATTCTTTGAACACGGGGGGCGTGTCCTGATCCTAATGGCGGCAGGTCGCGTCTAGTGTGAGCTCCGCGCTACCCGCCCACACATACCTGAATACAGACATCCCGAACGTCTCTCATCTACCGGACCTTCCGCAGAAGGAAGCGGAGGATGAACCGTAAAAAGACCGGAAGACAAGGGGCGCCGAAGGTACCCACCACGAGCTCGATACAGCGCTATATGGCGGCAGAGACTCTGAATCGGTCACAGGGCTCAGCGGCTCGTTTGGGTCTTTCCCCCAGGCAGTCTCCACGTCAGAGGGTAATGGACTCCTCAACCCTTGGTGTGGAGCAGGGGGGTGAACTGGAACATTCCATACTATCGCCCATAGAAGAACTGGTGAAAACTTTACCTACAAAAAACGAACTCACAGATATGTTTGCCCATCTAGAGCAGTCATTGAAAAAGGACATAGAAGCCATGAAAGGTGAGATGACACATCTACTACACAGAGTGGAAGAGGGGGAATCGAAGCTAGACTCTCACTCGGTGTCAATTAGGACCCTGCAGACGCAGATACACTCATTAATTGTGACACAACGCACCACAGCGTACCGCTTGGAGGACCAGGAGAATAGGGACCGCAGAAATAATTTGAGGATCCGTGGCCTGCCTGAGGCAATAACTGATCCAGAACTGACAAAGACATTAAGGGGCATTTTTAACAAAATATTGGGAAATACACCCCCCACCCCCCTGATGTACAACCGCGTACATGGTATCCCGAGGCCACGTAACATGGCGGCCGAGACATCGCGGGATATCATTTGCCGCTTCCATTACCATATGGAGAAAGATAATATTACGCGGAAACTAAGGGAACAGCCTCCGATGGACTTTGATGGAGTGTGCATTCAGATTTATCCTGACTTAGCTTTTATTTCATAAAAGAATTCCTTTTTGAGAAAGTCATTGAACGAAACATGTCAAAGGAAAACCTGCCTTCATCTCTCTTAGCTGAGTGCTGCTAACGCTCAAAGGTTCGATTTTTTTCGTTACACAGATTCGTTTATTAACACTTTAGTGTGCAGTTGGTTCACATAGACCGAGCGCAACATATTTGCTTTGCATTTGTTCACCTGTGCACATTGTTGTGGTTGGGCGCGCGTTCCCAGTGCAGTGATTTTTTGTGGTATACTATATATGTTGGTATTGTCTTTTTTTAGTATTTGTGTTTTTTTCTTTTTTCCTTCTGTTTTTTCTTATTTTTTCTTTTTTTTTTAATTTTCTTTATATACTTTTTACTTGTATGGGGGAATATCTGGCACCAAAATGAAGGAAAAAATATATGGTACAACCCTGAATATAGATGGCCAACCTTAACATATTAACATATAACATCAGGGGCCTCAACACCCCTATTAAAAGACACCAACTGATACATGAATTAAGGAGATTGCGGTGTGATATTGCTTTCTTCCAGGAAACACATTTAGCGCACCATACGTAAATACGCCTCTCCTCTTCATACTATCCACTGTGGTACTATAGCTCCTCTGACTCCAACCACTCAAGAGGGGTGGCAATCGGTATCCATAGGAATGTGAATTTTAGTCATATATCCACAATGGCTGACCCAGACGGGAGATACCTCTTTCTTAAAGGAACAATTGATAATCAGATGGTAACATTGGTCTCTATACGCCCCTAATAAAAAAACGACCATATTCCTAGGTAAAATGCTCCGTATATTAACAGAATATCAGGAAGGTATAGTTATTCTGGCAGGAGACCTTAATTTACATCTAGATCCCGCTCTTGATACATCAAAAGGACGATCGCATATAGCTTTTAAACGACTTAAAGCTTTTAAAACACAATTGCATGCGATGCAACTGATTGACATCTGGAGGATTTTTCATCCACGAGATAGGGACTATACGGTATATTCACCAATGCATGGTACATATACACGGCTAGATTATATTTTTGTAGATCATTACCATCTTGGGATCATACAGGAGATAAATATTCTTCCCACTACCCTCTCAGACCATGCACCGGTGATGATGACTCTGAGATTCTCGGGGGTAAGTCGCCCACCGACTATGTGGAGATTAAATGAATCACTAATTCGGGATGAGAAGGTGGCACTGGCCATAACAAGAGATCTATCTAACTATTTTAGTGAAAATACTGGAA